TATCGCAGCTTAAATGAATGAGATAATTGATAAAGTTAATATATTTCTGTAGGAAAGTTCGAATAATGTTTATAGGAATACAGACGGGTACTTGGAAAATGTCAAGAGGACATAATGACTTTGTCATTTCAAAGATGCAAGGGTCCCCAGTTTGTCAATAAAACATTTTAATGACGTCATAAATCTGCGTATAGTAAAATGAGTTTTTCTAGTAATGGAAATGATATCAATCATACGTATTTTTCTTGTCATCAAAGATACCAACTAAAATAGAAGTCAGTTATTAGCTTTAATAAAATATTCATTCATTCCTTGTAATAATAGCAAGTTGCATCAAAAGCTTCAGATTATCTGAATGATTTATAAGTATACAAACATTTGATGGTATTGGACGAGTTGTAAATTGGAAATGCGTCTTTCTTTAATTACCCTAACACTGAGCCAAAGTTCATGACTTACATTCAGAAATCTTGAAATAAATAAGATAATATGGGATAACATAATTGTTTTTCGTATTCGATAAAAACAGTACAGTTATAAGGAAAGTATGTCATCAGACGAACTCAACTCAAAATACATTAAACTATTTGTGAACAGGTATGTGTTAAGTGACAACGAATTAGAAAATATTAATGGAAGACAAATACTACTAAGATACACAAAACTATAGATTTTTGTCAAAAGTGTTTCACCTCTTGGAAATTCCCTTATATATTTCATATAAAAACACATATTTAAAAAAAAACATTGTTTAAAACTTACTTCAAGTCCGATTTTGATAAATCTTTTACTGTTAAACTCATTAATGTAAACAGTGTTTTCCGGTTAAATATGATATTTTTTTTTATAAAATATCATTACTGAAAAATCATTATTCATATACAAATATTGAAATTTAGCGTATATTTTTCCTATAGAGTGCAGAAGTTCACAGTGATTTCCTTAAAGGTATAAGTCTTGAATACATTTTTAATTATCGAATGACTAAACATGCATTACTGTTTTTAAGGAAAACAAAAATTTTAAATCGGACAAGCAATAGGTTAAGTAGAATTTATATTGAAAATATGTTTCTTATGAAATATATTTCGAAATTTTCAAATGCGAAACACTTTTGACCTCTAAATATAGGTGATATCAAATCCTATCTTTTAAGATTTATTAGTGCTTCTTACTTATTCTCTTTTGCTGTTCTTATAATTGTTGCGAACTTTTCCAATGAAGGATTAATCCAGACATCTCCATTAAGGATGTTCGCTACTCTATTTCAAAATAACAAGCTTTTTTAAAGACTGTTATAAATTAATAGTATATAGATAACACAACTGAAAAAGCAGAAAAAAATGACGGATCCGTGTCCTTGTTTTCGAGATATAAGCCATAGCAAATTTGGCGGGAAATGATTCTCTCTAGATTTCTTTCAAAAATTATGGAAAAATAACAAGGATTTTATAAGATTTTCAAATATGACTTTTTAAACTATATTTGATAAAATTATGAAAAGAAAAGTAGGGGTTAGAGGGCAAAATTTTTGAATGGCACTACATGGATAAAACCAGAGAATTCCGAATATCTGGCAAAAATTCAAAAACAAAAGGAGCGAACATCCTTAAACGCACGTAAAACAGTATGTTTTCCTTTGATAATATATGTTTTAGTAAGTCAAAACACGAAGCTACGTTTCACAAATGTCAATCGTTCAAGTTTCAATTAAATCATGAAAAGACACAATACATTTAATTAACACTTAAAAGAGGTAGGGCCAATTTCGTCTGAATTTATTTCTCAAGGGGACCTGATTCACAAAGTATTTCTGTCTTTACTTGAATTTATAGCATCACAATGCCGTGTGTTTGCCTTCAAGTTCTTATAATGTTATCATAGTTTATTTCTAGCTAGATGGCAAATTATAAACGCATATCATTACCTTTTTCAAAAGGTTGTTTATTTGTAAAACAAGAAAGATTAACAATTTAGCATTTACTGTCTGCACGAGCGTTTGGTCATATAAAAAATTAGTACGAGTCTATCGTGCATATTTCAACAATTTAAGTTCATACAGATCTGACAAATGAATAAAATAAACTGAATGGTTACTTGATTGGCACATAACCAATATCTATAAGTCTAGAATATAAAGCAAACATAACCTTCCTAGCTTTCATGACTAAATCATTAATGCTAGAGATAAGAATTACAGCCAAGAACTGACCCCCGAAATTTATGTTCTATGATATTATAGACTTTTCTGCTTTGAAGGTTTTTTTTCTCCTAAAAACCATAAATTTTGTCTTCAACTGTTAATTGCCATTTATCACAGGATTGCCATAAGATATTCATACTATTTCAAAAACCATCATTAGTTTATAGTTATATATATATCATCCGAAAACGGGAAACTATTCATGTTTGAATCAACTAGTTTGAGTGGACTTCATTTTTCATCAAAGAATATATCATTAAATAATACATACACAAACAAGCATGTGACAATTATAGATCAATATTTCAACAATTTAAGTTCATACAGATCTGACAAATGAATAAAATAAACTGAATGGTTACTTGATTGGCACATTACCAATATCTATAAATCTAGAATATAAAGCAAACATAACCTTCCTAGCTTTCATGACTAAATCATTAATGCTAGTGATAAGAATTTCTGCCAAGAACTGACCCCCGAAATTTATGTTCTATGATATTATAGACTTTTCTGCTTTGAAGGTTTTTTTTCTCCTAAAAACCATAAATTTTGTCTTCAACTGTTAATTGCCATTTATCACAGGATTGCCATAAGATATTCATACTATTTCAAAAACCATCATTAGTTTATAGTTATATATATATCATCCGAAAACGGGAAACTATTCATGTTTGAATCAACTAGTTTGAGTGGACTTCATTTTTCATCAAAGAATATATCATTAAATAATAGATACACAAACAAGCATGTGACAATTATAGATCGAACGTGACTAAAGATCCTGTGCTTCATGGTTTTTTTTCGATAAATTTATAAGGATGCATAAAAGCAGTAGTCGCCATAACTTATGTAACATACTATGATTTACTACATATGTTTTGTTAAATTTTGTATTTTACACAAAATTAAGCCTCAAATTTGCTCCCGCAAAATTTGCAATGGACGGTTTTTGTTGTTCTCTTTAGATCTGCTATGAATATAATCATCCATGTATACGCGTATTTATTCATTTTGCTTTCAACGCTTTTGTCTCTGAGAATTCTCTTGAAAAACTATTTTCAGGTGCGCTTTGTCGGCAGTAGAACCGTTTTACTTTGATTCAATTTGGGTTTTTTATTTACATAATGGTGTGTTAGTACCGTTATCAAATTTCTTCATATTAATATTGTAAAACATCAACTGCAAGTCACACTATAAAGGTTTTTGTCAAATAGCGCATCGTAGGAGTTCAAAAAGGTTTCATATTGTGTTAAACAGCTGGAAGTTTAGAATACATATAGGATGAAAATCTGATAATCTTGATTGAGCAGTTTGTGTTTGTATGTTTTAATGATAGAAACAATATGTTTTCTTTGCTTTACCAGCAAAGCGGAAGAGGACTTGACCAGATCTGGTATAGCTTTTCAACGTAGTGTCAAAGATTATTTCGCAGGTGAAATTGCTAGATCAAAGCTATTAAGGCCGGGACAAAGATGAGAGATGTCAAAAAGCCTTGATATGCAATTGTATAAAATACCAACCAGAACTTAATTCCATACATATAATTTTACAAACGACACATACATTTTGACAATCAAGTGTGATCCCATGATAAAATTCGGCCTCTTTGAGACAATTATTTTTAGGACTATGACATTTGACTTTGATCCTTACTGTTTAGGAAAAAGGGGGACGAAAGATACCAGAGGGACAGTCAAACTCATAGATCGAAAACAAACTGACAAGGCCATGGCCAAAAATAAAAAGACAAACAGACAAATAATAGTACAGATGACACAACATAGGAAACTAAAGACTAAGCAACACGAACCTCACCAAAAACTGGGGGTGATCTCAGGTGCTCTTAGGTAAGTAAGTGGTTTTTGTAGGTAAACTTATTTTAAAAATTGTTGAATTGAGGACAAAATGTCGCTTTTTGTAACTTTAGCATTACATCTTCATGGTAAACATATAGTTCTGTATTCAATGAAAAACAGATACATAGACTAGTCAAAAAATATACGTGACGCAGTTTACTTCGTCCACAAATGTTGCCAAATGTTTAAAACTTTTATTTTCAGAATTTTCAGAATTTTGGTAATAATGAAAGAAAAATATTTAAGACTTAATTGAAAGACGAATAACGAAATTAAGTTTAATATTTCTTGGGTTCTAAAAGAATTTTGAAAAAGGTTCATGGTGCAGAACATTTACTTTATGTATGAGAAAAATTGTTGCACACACTTGACAACTATCTGAACGACGTAACACCGCGTTTATTTATGTTCCTCTTCTCAAATAATAATGAGATCTTCTAACGAAGCAAAAGCTCACACCTCAATGCAAGTTTTAGGTCCACAGCACCGAACAGTTAAAGCGGAATTCTTTACTTGTTATGTTCAAGATCAATCACACAATTATGAAACATCAGGTCATCAATTTTCATGCAAGTGTTTGCTCCGTCTGGCGATCAACATTTCCAATATCAAAATTTGTGAGGGAGGGGATACAAAAATATGTATGAACTAAGTTTCTTATTCTTAGTGGAATTTTTGGTGTAATCCCGAACTTATTTGAAATTTCAACGTTTAATACATATGCTTTTTATTCGAAATGTCAAGATATGATATACATATTTGATGAGACAAGTGTACACTTCTACAAATTTTAAATACGATGATTTTGAATATAAAAGTATTCAAATACTTAAGAAATGAGACTTGTTAGACCAATATTCAGATTTATTTACTGACAATTTAATATTTGTCTTTTTCAATTTAGATTTAATACCAAAACAAAACTTATTATGACTTACCTTTACAGAAACCACGTCCGTAAAATGATTGTTACGTACTGGCTGACTACAGGTTGTGATATAAGACTTTATTTATAAATTACGATACCACGAATCAGAATGCAGCAATAATCTCCCGTGTTTATTTAATGTGTAAATTGTCACTTGTTGGTAAACTCGTCACTTGTCTAATGTGCATCCATTATTTAGATTTAGTTCACCAATTTGCTTCTATTTTTGTTTTCTTTCTTTTAATTACCTTACATGTAACAACGAATACTACCTAACGATTCAGTCAAAACAATTTCTTTATTTCTGAAAATCCATTACTCGCAAGCTATATTACTATATTGTGTAAATTTTCCTTCATTTATTTGATTTAGTCCTGTTTTATTGCTATGCTTCCAACAATTTCACACTTTTTACAATTCCCGTGATAGTCCTGCATCCGACTCTGGTTTTCTGCTGGAGAATATGTCAATCACATTTTCCTGTGCTATGTAACAATAATTAATATTTCGCATAAGGTATATAGATTATTGACTTGACATCTTCTACAATATTGAACGATAAAAGGAAGATATATTTCTCAATAAATGTGGCGCATATTCCCTCGTCTCTGTTTATTTTGAAAGAATTTTTAAAACGCTCTTTGATTTAACATTTTACTCACTTGAGAGACAGTTTAATACATATATGCCTATTGTCTTATTTTAAAGACATATAAGTCTGTATGTAAGTTTAAAAGTTCTAGTTTCAGAACTTTAACTTTAATTTCATATCCGTTTAATTTTTCGGATTAGAAATCAATTCAAACTTTGAAAAATGTATTATAAAAATTGATTGATTGATTGGTATTTAATGCCACTTTCAGAACTATTGGTTATTTCGTGGTGGTCAGTTTTTATTAGTGGAGGAAGCCGAAGTTCACAGAGAAAACCACCGTCCTTCGGAACGAAAACTTACAATCCTAGTCTATTGGAATTTGAGACAAATACATCTGCCAGGTGCGGGGTTGAAATTCACAACCTCAGTGTGACAGTCAAGTGATACAGTAGCTTTTTTGCCCTTTCTTTTTTAGACCACTCGGTCGCCTATATAATTAGAAATTCTCAATTACTTAAAATTGTGCTGGTTTATTTGAAAATGAATATGAGGACATGCTTTAGTCATTGAAGACTTTTAGTAATTTAGAGCTTGACATATAGAATAGACACTCCTTTTGAAGTCTTCTGGAATGTTTCGTTTTGTGTCGTTGAGTTGCTGTATCATAGAGGGTAACATAAAATAAGCAAAAACGCAATACGTACAATATTACGATGACATACAAAAATCTTAAAATATGGTGATGCGGTATGGTTGCTAATGAAAAAAATTATCTATTAAAGACCAAAGTTCAAACGACTGCAAAACTCCTGGTCACGAATGACCAATACTCATACTCGATTGATTGAGTGATGGCTTAATCCGACAGGGGTCCCCGGCTTGTACAGTGGTAATGTTGGAAGGAACATCATGTTCTTCTGGTATAATTGGCGCACTAACTGAATATCCACGGTGATTAAATGAGTTTAGAAAGTGTCTGATGTTGGATATAAACATTGTGATAAATTGACTCGAATTAGGAAGTACAGCGGTGATTATTAAGATGAAGTTAATTCATAATGCCAACATGTAGGTACAAAGTATCATGGCATTATTTGGAATAAATAGAAATGTCAGCATTACAAATCTTGTTATCGTTATAGAGAAGTACCATAATTTTCATTGCTGTTCACTGTCATCATGAACATTATTGATGCATTTAGATAAAGCTGCATTGCATTTAAATGTCTCATCGAACTTTATTACTTTAATCTAACTTTTAGTCAAAGATCGATGTAAAAACTAGTTTAAAAAAATGACCGCCTTGAAATTATACCATGCTAACAGAAATTCAGCTGAAATCCGAAAGAATTACGTCATATGTCAGAACGTTTGTAAATTATATTTCATTAATAAGAAATTTCACACACACAAAAATATTCACATAGATGCAACACCTTTTGGTTGAGTTGAGTTGGTCTATCATTGTAAAAGACGTTGCGTATGATAATCAAAGCCCAGTGCTTCCTCAGGCAAAGTGACCTTAGATGGATCTGGCTATAAATTTTAGGTCCCTTTTAGTAATAAAGCTCTTCACTTGTTCCAGTATTTTTATATACTTGGCTTTCAAATATTTGGCTTAGAGCATTCCCGATGAAGATAAGTCCAGAAAAGCGCTTCGGACGCAAAATATTTTCAAAGTGTTATTTTCATTTTATTAAAAGTACCGTATTGACATGCGTTGCATGGTTATAAGCTTAGGATAAGTTTTGCGTCATGAATAAATACCATATCAGCACTTTTCCATTATATAAATAAAATAAAATTAATGACATAGATATAAGTTGTTATATCAGCATCATCTATCAACAAGTGGACTAGATCAGGATATTGTACGTTTATGGAATCAATATGTTGAGATTCTGACATTCTTTAATTCACAAAAGGTTAGCGTCGAATATACTCCTAGACTGGAATTGTTACATTGTGTAATGCATATTTTTGCAGTCTACTTTGTAAATCGCAAAAATAAAAAACAATCATTATAATCAACACACTGAAGGAATGGCAGTTTAAAAAAAAAACTAAGTTGATGTTATTTAAGGGGTATCTGTTAGAATATTCGGCTAAACATTGACTTCCTTAAACAGACAAAAGTAAAACTTATAGAATGTTGAACTTTAGCTGAAAACCTTGTAGAAACCAAATACAGCAATATTTGCCAGAAAGAATATATAAATATTTTTTTCGGAAGAATTTTGGTTCCTTTTTTTTTTATTAATTTTTTTTATCTATTTTCTGTTGCGTTATTACTCGCACAGTATATTTTATGCAGTTTTCATCAATCTTAAAGTATTTATAATTTGGTAACATAATCAGATATGCGATATGATATGGTTATATCCTCAATATGTATATATTCATGCTGAAAGCCATAACACAGTGAATTTAAAAAAAAATATTAAAATTTGGTCTTGCGGTTAAAGTCAGTAAATAAAAGCAACAGTAGTATACCACTTTTCGAAATTCATAAATCGATTGAGAAAAAAAAAAAAATCCGGGTTACAAACTTAAACTGAGGGAAACACATCAAATATAAGAGGAGAACAACGACACAACACTAAAATGCAACACACACAGAAACGAACTATAATATAACAATGGCCATTTTCCTGACTTGGTAAAATTGTCTCTTTTTCGTGCAAAGAAATTCTCTTGATACAAACTAGGATACACAATATGTACATATGACTAAAAATTTACGTAGTTTCATATTTGTCCCAAAAATATTATTTGATTAGTTGATGATCATTGCTAATTTCGCGTCCTAAGAGAAAAAAAAAATGAGATAACATTAGTAGTTGAATAATTACTGAATGCTAAACAAGATTTCTAACAGTACATGTAAATAACAACTTTCTTACTATCTAAACGCTTTGAGAATTGTAATTTTGTTTAAAGAGATTTAAAAAACCCCTAAGATCTATTTGTAAGCGATTTGTTGTGATTAACCTCTTACTGTTTGTTTTAAACGTTCTAATGACTAATTACTGGTACTAATCATACCTTCAGGAGAATTTAGATGCTTATCTTGTATCTGTAAATAATATTTTCAGATCATAATCAATAAAAAGTAATGAATATGGTTCCAGTCAATCACTATGACATTTTTCTGTGTACATGAATATTCATTTTTTATTTTCAATTATGGAATTGTCACCCAGCTAGTCTGTGTAAATCATTTTCTGACATTGTAATTAACAATATAATGTGTGTTTCGTGCATATTATTTTTCAGAACTGCCAGGAAGATAAGTATTGGAATTAAACTGCACAGTTATTAATGGTTCATTCAAAAGTAGACCTTTATTCATTTTATCTAAAAAAAAAAACCGTAATGTCAAGATCTGTTAATGCACCTTAGTAACCAAAGTGATCATTTTATAATAGAAACAGAACAGCCTACAATAGCCTACAATAGTGAGACAACATCCTTTAAGGGGTCAATACAGTGATTGGTGACAACATTATCAGAATGTATAATTTTAAAAAATACATTGTGGTAACATTTTGTTTGACTTAGTAGTTCACTAATCTCTAGCAATATAATTGATTGGTTTGTCCTAAACAGGATTGTCTGGCTTGCCTTGAACCTTATTTCAAGGTTGAATTGGACATACTTGTCACGTTTGTCTCTTACATAATTTTCTGGAATGTCTTGGACAGAATTTCTGGAAAACTTATGACAGGGTTTATATTCGGCCTTGGCAGGATTTAGTGGTTTGCCTAAAATAGAGATTTTTTTGGATGCTCGGACATGATTTTCATATTTGCCCTTAACATGGTTTTATTGTTTTCCTTTGAAAGGAGTTTCTGGTTTCCACCAAACATAATTTTCTGGTTCATAATCAAACCGTTTACTTGAAATAGTATATATAGAAATACTATAGAAATAAACAAAAGTATTCGACACTTGTAGCTATTACTGACTACTGGCAACAAAGTCACTGGAAAAGTATATGTACAAAAATAAACAATGAAGAAGAGTATATGATGTAGATGGTTTGAAACAGAAACCAATTTATACTTACATCTTTGCTTTTACAACGTATTGCAAGAAGATAAATTGATTTTGTTCATGTTAGTTTTAACATTAATGATTTCAAAATAGTATTATTACTTCATTGTTTAGAGAAATGTCCATCACCCTCGTGATAACACGTAACAATGTAGAAATAATCGGTAAAAAGGATGAAATGTTGATCTTCGCTAATATCTTTCCTGTTTTAGACCTAAATATAAATGACCTAAGCATAAATGCAAGAATTAAATATATCTTTTAGTAGTTTGCTTGGGTTATAAATATAAAAGAAATGAATTTTCCAAATGAAACATTCTAAATACAATTTTTGTGATAAACACGCAAATTTCACAACATTTAAAGCTGTTAGTAAGCCATTATACTACATGTTCTCGTCCTTTTATTTCAATAATACGAAATTTCATGTTTTAGAGGCATTTTTCTGTCATCCATTTCCGTAGGGAAATTTTTCAACAAAATTCAACACGAGATTGATAACTTAAAGACGTTTTCTTCAACTCTCTTTTGTATTGCTTTTTTATCGCTCATCTTGTTTAACTTATACTACCTTCTTTTTGCCTGTTTGCTAACACTAAGATTGCAACTTCATAAGGCTAAGTTGACCTTAGACTGTTTGCCCTGTTTTGTTTTGAGTCTAGTTGGTTTTAATGTTTCAAAACGATATATATGTTCAGTTCCCCCTCGTTTCTGTCACGGTCCAGTAACCCGTGTCATGCATCCTTAAATTGGTAACAATAGCAGATAGTAGTTTTCGTCCGAAAAATATGTTTTATTACTGTGCATAAGAACATTAT